GCGCAGCAGCGCTCCCGCTGTGGGTTTGGATCCTATATAGGGATGACCGGTGCGCTCACAGGCTCACTGGCTGAGCGAGGTGTGGCCGGTCTCAAAAAGGACAAAAAAAAAAAAAAAAGTTCCAAAATTCTAATCAAGGCTTGGTCTTTCTAGTGACCAGCCCTCACCCTGAAGCTATCTAGGGGCCAGACAAGAATCGCCTCATTAGAACAAAAGACACTCCTATCACTCTTATCTCTCAGGAAATTCCAAGGGTTTTAGGTCCCAGGAACCAGGAAAAAAGAACAAATATCTTCCTTTACACCACAATTCTGAATCAGAGATATAATTCCAATCAAAAGCAAAATGATTAACAATTATTTTAATAGATGGTAAAAATACATCCACTCTAGTTATGCTAAGAAAAATATTCTATTACGATTATTTTAATATAGTTTGATGCCCTTTTTTAAAAATAAAGGGATCCTAAAGGATAAATATGATAATGAAGTATTAGATGGTTTGATATTTAAAAATAAATTAATAACTTTATATAGATTTACAGTGATAAGATCAAAAGCCATCTGTGAAAACTGTACCAGAATCAAGAAAGGATCTGCAGTGGGGGGCTGAGGGCCTCAGCCACACTCCCCTGATACCTGCAACCAACCCAGTGATGACCACTGAGTTGCTGCAGGAAGCGCCCTGGCCTCCTGAGCCAGGGAAGTTGGGGTCCCGAGGACCTTGGCTATGCCCCCTGACACCCACAACCAGCCCAGCGACAACCACCAAACCACCACTTGAAGCCCCCTGGTCTCCCAAGCTGGGGTGGTGGGGGGCCAAGGGCTTCAGCCACACACCCCTGACATCTGCATCTATCCCAGTAATGACTGAGCCACTGCTAGAAGCCCCCTGGTCTTCCCTGCAGGAATGAGGAGGGCACCATCAGCCTCAACCATGCCCCCCCTTCCTCCTCCTCCCACCTTATTTCCTTCCCCTTTCCCCCTCCCCCCCAACTGCTCCACAACAACATCTTAGAATGTAAAAAAAAAATAATATTAATAAGTAAACTTACAGAAAAAAAAAAAAAAGAACGGATCTCAAGTCTAATTAGAAGTTTAAAACTAAGCCCTCATTCTTTGCAGGAAAACTGAAATCTAATAAGTGGCTTCTTAAGCTAAATTGGATTTGAGGTACTTGATTTTTACATGTAAAGTGTTCAGGTTTTTGGTGCATTTAATTGTACAAAAAAAAACCCAGAATTCTACTAAAACTAAGCTCCGAAATGGCCTAATCTATGTAAAATAACCTAGCAGAGGGCCTGGCACATGGCAGAGGCTCAATAAATACTTAGTTTTCTTCTTTTTCCTCCCCTATCAGTAAATGCATCTCTGCTTTATGAATTAGGTTAAAGGAGTATTAATCATGATACCAGAGTGAAAAAAATTATGATTAAAATAATGAAAAAGAACCAAGAGTTGTAAATAAGACCTAAAATAACCACCTTCTGCACTGTTATCAGGCACCCATCTTCCTTGGGTGGTTAAGCTTTAAAATTGTTCTTAACCACATAAAAGAGAAGCACCTGTGAATGTTTGTGCTCTATTACATATACTTTTACAGAGAAATGGAGCACATAACAACACTGAATTGAAGAAAACTGTCTTTAAAGTCACTTATTTACAATAGATTATCAGTTTCATTAAAAACAAGAAGTTTTCCTGGAAAAGCATGTCCTTTTTTCAAATAAATAAATGATGTTAAGTCCCAATAAAAGAAAATATATAATTAGTGTATTATGGTGACAGAAAATATAAATATATAAAATTGGCTTTCCAGGTAAATAAAGTAATGTGATTTATCTTAACAGAATGTTTTTTAAAATAACTTTGTGAAAAATATGTCAATATGTTCATACATAATGATCACAAATTATGTAGAAGTATGGGAATGTTTTTTTTTCCCCTCTGTATTTTATATTGAAATATTCACTCAATAACACAGAAGAGAAACCATAGCTAAGAACCAATATGTTCATACATAATGATCACAAATTATGTAGAAGTTTGGGAATGTTTTTTTTTTCCCTCTGTATTTTATATTGAAATATTCACTCAATAACACAGAAGAGAAACCATAGCTAAGAAGGCAGAAAGGAGAAGAAGTTGGGAGGAAGCTGTGAAATTTCAAGGAAAAATGTATCATAGACTCATTCCTTTTTAAACTTTAAAAGGACTTTAGAGATAATGGATGCTTCTGGGGTTTCATCAACATTTCATCAATAGAATTTTGTTTTTAAAGGTTTGTATTTTTATGTTTAAAGTCTTTAATTAGAAACAACACATACCCTCAAATGTGTTAATATACCACATTTTAACACTCTGAAGTCCATCAATACATTGACTTGAGTTACCAATTTAATTAGTTTTTGTGTAGAATTTAGAATAAAGCTCTTCCACCATCTCTGATTCACTGAAGAAGTCTTAGGAGGGCAAGATTAGAAAGATTTATCTTCATGAATCAGGATTTTCTGGACACCATGAATCCAAAATGATATGTAAATAAATTGGATATTGAGGCTGCTGCTAGTTGTTCTAGGAAATGTTAATAGACATTATCTGATTAAAGAAGTTTAGGAAATACTTATTAACAAAGTTAAACAGATTTCCTTATGATTTCACATAAAGAGGGTGAGCGACCACAAGAAAGAGAGTTCTCTCTTAAGTTTCTGGCTGAGAAAATGTGAAAGGCCATCATTCATAGCTCACAATTAGAAACAGCAAGTTCAGATAAAGGAGGTAATATTAACTGATCAAAATCCCATTTACTGTTTGTTGAATTTGTCACCACAAATTCCATTATAGCCTATGAGATCTAGGCATGTCTACCGACTAAGACAAAGTAAATCCAGTTTTAAAACAACAGGATTGGATCATATTCATGCTTTCATTCACTCATTTATTCATGCATTTAATCAGTGACTATTACTCAACGAACATTTATTGGGAAGCTATGGTGTGCCAGGCACTGGGGAATATAAGAAGCAGCAAGAGCCCTCTGAACTCAAAGATCTTCTCAGTTTATCAGGAGATAAATATTAGATAACCAGAAATTGTTTATAATATACAGTGATACACATAATATTTGTCCATCTATTTGCACAGCATGTTAGAATTTATACAATTCTTATAAAAGTAAATTAAATTGAAAAGTTTATCTTTTTTTTTTCTTTACCTTGTCCAAATTTCATTTTTTCAAACAACGATTTTCCTTGTTCCTGTATTGGGTCATCTGAACAAGGTACTTCTGAAAGTGAAAGGAAATGTTACTAATAATTTTGCTGAATTAGGGACTGCCCTGGTCAAACCAGGATGCAATGATCACCACCCTAGCTATGGAAAATGTAAATAGCTCTTCCTAGTGCCCCTTATTCCCATACAACACTATCCTAAAGAGTGTAATCATCAAAAAGCATAAGAGAACAGACTATGCTTGTAATCTGAGGTAGGTTTATGATAGCCACAGGAACTTACTATTTTTTTAGAACTTCTGTTCTCTATAGTGTCAGAGCCACAACTTTCATGACCATATTTTGATACGTATAAGAGGGAGAAGAATTCTCTCCTGAATGCTTTGCTTGTAATAGAGTTAGAGCATTTTATATTTTTCTAACTTGCCAGGTCTTTGAATTTCTGTCAGGTGCCACAAAACCTAGTACAAAATAATCCTAATCAAGGAGGTTCAAACGAAACTCCAACAGCAGCTTACAGAATGCCAGGAGGGATCTGCCCCTAGATTCCTTGGCCCAGTCCAACGTAGCAAGAAGCTGGCTGGCACACTAGTGCCTCAGTTCTCAAATTAGCATTAACACTTTCCAAAATAACTAAAGGAAAGACAAATCAGAATTTCTGGGAAGAAATTAATAACAAGAAACTATATTACAGGCAACAGAAGCAACAGTTCGGAACCCATTTCTGATTACATGTTCCTTTGAGGAAGGAAATGCCTGTCAGTTGAAAATGCCTGCCTGGAACTAGAAAATCTGAGGAGCAAATGACCTTCATGACATGAAAAAGAACCTATCATTCTGCTTTGACTCTTCAGATCAGAAGTAGAAAGGGTTTGCTTGGCTTTTCTTCAAGTGTGTGTGTGCATGTCTTTGTGTATGTGTGTGTGTGTTTGAGAGAGAGAGCATGTGCGTGCTTTAGCAATTCCACCCTCAGGAATCCTTCAGATCAGAAGTAGAAAGGGTTTGCTTGGCTTTTCTTCAAGTGTGTGTGTGCATGTCTTTGTGTATGTGTGTGTGTGTGTGTTTGAGAGAGAGAGCATGTGCGTGCTTTAGCAATTCCACCCTCAGGAATCAAAGTAAAAGGTTGAATGTTAATTATCTTCTGCATAAGAAATCAAACACTACTAGTTATCCAAAGTCTATAATCAGGCTGGCTGCATAAGACTCACTTTTAAAAATTCTGGTTACTAAGACTCACCCCACGATTTGATCTGCAGTCAGGGTTAAGAACAAAGACCGTGAATTACTACAAGAACTCCTTCCAGTGCCTTAAGCCCTTTTTGTTTTTAACTGGTCTGTTTCCCAAAAATGATGAAAAGCACTTTTGAGGCTGTCTTCAGAAAACTGGAGAGAATGCACCCTTATATGAAGTCAGCTTTTGAGACAGAGTAGGATCCTAAGAGGTTATGGTGGATTAGGTATAAAGTTTGGAGAGAAAAGTAGTTTGAACTATTGGGGCTTGTTGTAAGGAAAGGAATAATCCCAGGGAGCACCTAGATAGGGATTTGGTGATAGAATCCTGTTTAGTTCTTGACCTCTTGACCCTTATTTCTGTTTTGCACCCCCTCTCTGCCTATATTGTCCCCAACTGTCCTGAGATGGGGACACTGGGGAAAAAAGAGGGGGTGCTACAACAGCGGAAGGTAACATAACATTGGTTACGTCTGTTTTTCAGAAATGTATGCTGCCCTTTCCCAGATCATTTCAAAATATGCTGCTCATTGGTGAAGACCACATCCTATTTAGTTTTCTCAGGCTAAAGTTTATTCCATCTGATAAAAGGTATCAGTTTACTCTAATAAGCAGAAATTTATTTTAGTACCTATGTTTATTTATTTTTTTTTATTTTTTCTTGGTGGCTAGCTGGTACCAGGATCCAAACCCCTAACCTTGGTGTTACTAACACCATGCTCTAACCAAGTGAGCCCCAAGTATCTATTTCTAGATAGTATGTAAAACTAACCTTCAGGAAGGAAAAAATACAATTTTTCCCCTTTTATAAGACACTTAAAAAAAAACCTACCCAAAGTAAGTACAACATAGATTCAGAAAAAGAAATTCTGAGAAATGGTGTTATATCTTAAATTCTCCTAGAAACTGTGGTTAAAAATGGAAAGCTATAAAACAAACAAACAACACAAATGAACAAACTGAAANAGCCCCAAGTATCTATTTCTAGATAGTATGTAAAACTAACCTTCAGGAAGGAAAAAATACAATTTTTCCCCTTTTATAAGACACTTAAAAAAAAACCTACCCAAAGTAAGTACAACATAGATTCAGAAAAAGAAATTCTGAGAAATGGTGTTATATCTTAAATTCTCCTAGAAACTGTGGTTAAAAATGGAAAGCTATAAAACAAACAAACAACACAAATGAACAAACTGAAAATAAGTGTTGGTGGCGATGTGGAGAAATTGGAACCCTTCTATATACATTGCTGGTGGGAATGTAAAATAGTTCAGCTACTGTAGAAAACAGTTTGGCTGTCTTTCAAAAAGTTAAACATAGAATTACTATATGATATAGCAATAGCAATTCAGCTCCTCGGTATATACCCCAAAGAACTGAAAACAGGTACTCAAGCAAATATATGTATGTGCATGTTAATTGCAGCTTTATTCCCAATAGCCAAAAAGTGGAAACAACCCCAATGTCCACCAAAGGATGAATGGACAAATTGTGGCATATCTATATAGTAGAATATTATTCAGCCATAAAAAGGAATGAAGTATTGTTACATGCTACAACATGAATGATCCTGAAAAGCACTATTCTAAGTGAAANCTACTGTAGAAAACAGTTTGGCTGTCTTTCAAAAAGTTAAACATAGAATTACTATATGATATAGCAATAGCAATTCAGCTCCTCGGTATATACCCCAAAGAACTGAAAACAGGTACTCAAGCAAATATATGTATGTGCATGTTAATTGCAGCTTTATTCCCAATAGCCAAAAAGTGGAAACAACCCCAATGCCCACCAAAGGATGAATGGACAAATTGTGGCATATCTATATAGTAGAATATTATTCAGCCATAAAAAGGAATGAAGTATTGTTACATGCTACAACATGAATGATCCTGAAAAGCACTATTCTAAGTGAAAGAAGTCAGACACAAAAGGTCACATATTGTATGGTTTCATTTATATGATATATTCAAATAGGCAAATCCATACAGAAGGAAAGCAGACTGGAGGTTCCCAGAGACTGGGAAAAGGGGAGAATGGGCAGTAACTGCTGAATGGGTATAGGGTTTATTTTGGGGGTGATAAAAGTGTTTTGGAACTACACAGAGGTGTTAGTTTCACAATACTGTGAATGTACTAAATGTCACTGCATTGTTCACTTTAAAACAGTTGATTGTAATGGTTAACTGTGAATTTCACCTCGATGAAAAAAAAAAAAAAAAGACCAAAAAATGGAGCGCTTTTTCAGCAGGTTCGGGTATTTTTATCCCACAACTAATAAAAGGGTGTTGTTCTGCACATACCTGGAAGACAAGGTTGATGTTGCTGAGGTACCAAGTTTGGTTCTGGAGGTATAGGTACTTCCTCAGAAACATATTTTAAAAGCTCCTTCCCAAGATATGTTACCTGTACATAATTAAGTACAGAACTTAAAAATCATACATTCTGTAAGAGATAAATACACCTATCTCCTGCAAATTGTAAGTTCTGTAAAGTATTGATTGTTGTATATCATAGACTGGTAAACTATAGTCCACAACCAAATCCAGCCTGCCACTTTTTCTTATAAATAAGATTTTATTGGAATACAGTGACACCCATTCATTTACTTATATCTATGGCTACTTTTGTGCTATAACAGAATTGAGTAATTGTGACAGAGACCGTATATGCACAAAGCCTAAAATATTTATTATCTGGCCTTTTCCCCTTAGCACTTCACATACTGCCTGACAATTCTGGGTAAATGACTCTGAAGTCCCAAATTTAAGCAATATTCTTAAATCCTCTGAGCCTCAGTTTGTGTGTTTGTAAAACACGTATCTCCAGCTTGTTACGTTGTTGTGAGAATGAAAAGAGATAATGTATGAAAATCATTTGGCATACTAGCTAGCACATCTCAAGTGTTCAATAAATGCTTGTTAAATTGAACAGAGTGAGGAAGGTTTAGGATATCTCCAGCTTGTTACGTTGTTGTGAGAATGAAAAGAGATAATGTATGAAAATCATTTGGCATACTATCTAGCACATCTCAAGTGTTCAATAAATGCTTGTTAAATTGAACAGAGTGAGGAAGGTTTAGGGGATCTGTAACATATAGGTACCCTTTGGGCTCAATCCTATGACTAAACAAAGCCTGGTAATGGAAATTAAACAGACTTGGCCTACTCAGAGTGGCAATCCCTCCTCGCTTGCCATGGAAAGGAGGAGAAGATCCTGAATGCCGTTTGTTAGTTCTCCAAACAACAAATAATTAGAAATGGATTTTCTATGTGTTATGCCCTGACAATGTCCAATACATCTTACACACTAATCAAAGTGCAGGCTCAGTATGTTCTCACCTATATCTCAGACCTGAAGTATATTTTTTTCAGCTAGTGCTGGGTAATAAATATAGTGTGGTAATAGAAAGTGGCTTACACATATCACTAGGGTAATTCAGAATACAATGAACACATCTTTAAGAAAATCCAGAGTTAAAAATCTATTTTCCACAAGGTAGGAATGATTTACTGAACAGGGTAATAATGAATAGACCTCAAATGAATGGGTACTAGGTCACTTCTAGAAACTGTGTATTTCATATTAGTGCCTGTGCTCCAGCTGGCTAAAGCATTTCCATATGATTCAAACTCTGAATTGTGAATTAAATCTTACTGGATCCAAATCTAGCTCATATATGCCTGCTCTGAAGCAAAAGCCACTCCCGCTGAGAGTAAACATCAGGATCCCCTTGGCAAAGCTGTGTAGCAGCCCAGCTACTTGGGTAGGAGGTATGAGTCATCTTCGTGTCTAGTGGCTCTATCACTCTATCTGATGCAGGAAAACACCTAGTTTTTTGGATTCTTGCCTGACAACCATTCACCTCTGGCCCCATACCCCCACCACCATTCTCAGAACTAGGCAGTAGAAATGTTCACATTTACCAATGTAGCAAAAAGTTCCTTTCATCAAGAAGTGACTGAATTTCAGTAGTTTCTCCAAGACAAGAAGAGCTTTCTGTGGTAAACTTTAAAAGACTTTAAAAGAGGCTTTTAAATATTGTAAAGAAACTCATTGGGGGTAATGTTTCCCAGCTTGGAGTATTTACTAGAAGTACATGAGTGCTCACAGTAACTTATAAAACTTTGTTTTTGTTTTTTGGATATTCTAAAAAAAGTTATCTAAACCTGCTCAGATAATCTGTATGAAAATATTATACCCAATAATTGCCCTATTTTTAGTACCCATGTCACGTTTGCATTTGGCTTCACTGTCACATAGGTGCTAAATAGTATGACTCTAATTGACATAGCTGTTGAAAAAAATACTAGAGGCAATGTGATATGTAAATGAGGCGTTAGTTCAGAGTGAGGACCAAATGATGTCACAACCAGCTATTCCAATGCAGGAAATGTAGTCGTTACCATAGAGAAAAAGAGGGGGAGAATTGAGTCATGATTGGGCACACTTTAGAACAGCACGTTGAGCTTAAAAGAACCTAAGCTACAACAGTCACTACCATATTCATGCTGTGAGCAAAGACTCAGTTTCAGCCAAACAGTATAATCTATCATAAATTTAAGAAACCTTGTAATAAAAGGAGATTTCCATGGGTAAGATATTAATGACTAACATTCACATATGAATTATGAATCTGTGGAAAGTATTATGCAAAGGAACTAAGGTGAACTAAAGCAGATGGCCTGGTGACTCAAGGGGTGAGAAATAAAAATACTTCAGGGAAAAAAAAAATCAGAGAGACTATATAGCAGACAAAATCCAGAATGTGCTTATGTAAGTGAAGGAACTGAAACACAGTGCTGGAAGCACCTGCTACATTCTCCTAGACCAGAATGCAGAGTTGGGGCACAGGATTCACAGTAAGCTATACCCCCTGTTACTGGTGCACTGAGGCACACTGTAATGGCTAGTGGAGGTTAATATCTGCAGTAAAGGTGGATGTCTACTGATTCGTACTTTTCCAGGTGAATCATTTTAAGACTGTTCCTGAAGTGGTGCCATGGACACCTGGAGGTGAACATTGGACCTCAAGAGTGTCAGTCATTACTGGGCTTATAACTCAGAAGCCAGAACTGAAGGGCAAGCTACTAAGTCGGGCAGGTCTGAATAAAAATATTTATTTTTCAAAGGCTAGCCATTCATAGATAAGACTGTTCAAACATAAAAATACACTGTAATTTCTGTGGGTCTTAGGCCCCTTGCCTATTTCTTTTGTGAAAATATTTATTTTTCAAAGGCTAGCCATTCATAGATAAGACTATTCAAACATAAAAATACACTGTAATTTCTGTGGGTCTTAGGCCCCTTGCCTATTTCTTTTGTATTTAGGAGAAGATTTTGCTTTATTTCATTAGAATAATAACAACATATACTAACTAAGTTATCAAAACACCAGTGGTCCCAAATTTTCTATATGGAGTCACAAAGACCAAAATCACTTGGGGGGATAAAAGAGGGAAGATTAGGGGCATTAAGGTTTCTGGGACCAGATGAGGCACAAGGAAGGGGAGGCTCAGTCAGCTATGCAACCATGATCATCGGAATATGGCAAATAGAAGTTGTGAGAGGAAGCATGCAGCATATCACAAAAGGGACACATGAGGACAAAAATTTGACTGGAGATCTTTCAGATTTCTTTAAAAAAATATGAAAAAATAGTTTCATCATCAAAAAATATGTACCTTTCCATTTGAATATGAAGTTAAAGATAAACTTAAGAGTAACCCACCTTACTCCAAGCATAATTCCAAGTCACATAACTGTTGCCTCCCAGAAGATCCTTGAGCCAGGTGACTGGGTTTTGATAAATCTGACCATTTTCTACCTTAATTTTACCACTCAATAAAATACTGGCTTTGTGGGTAGTCTCCTAAAAAAAAGAAACAAAAATTAGTATAAAAATAGCTGAAATATGTGAACTTTTGCTTCTGGCCATGATGAAGTAACAGGGACCAGATTTACTCTAACACTCAACACAACTGAAAAACAGACAAAATATATTAAAAAATGGTTTGAAAGATAAAAAACATCAGGCAACTAAATAGAGTGATCTCTGAGAGATGAGAATTAATGAGGTGAGCCCTAGCTTACTGCCTTGAGAGAGTTTCCAGGTCATGGTGCAGGGAAAGGTAATCTAGGCAAAGCTTGTGGACTCCCTGAGTTGAGACAGAGCTGAGAGTCTAGGGAGGCAAGAGGGCTAGAGTATGCAGGGAAGAGTACTGAAGAAGAGAGAAATAAAAACAGATAACTCTGTAGATATTCAGGGAGTCCTCCTTAAGTATCCAGCTGAGTATGTGAGTGAAGAAATTACCAAAGACAGGAAAAAGAACCATTTAAAAGAGCTAGAGGTGATGGTACTTGGCACCCTCACAGGGCAGGGAATAGTGCCTGTTTCCAACAGCAAGACTAGAAAAACATCAAGACTAATGGGGCATTGGTAGGGTACATGGAAGAGTCTTGCCTCAATACTGGAAAATAATTAACCCTAGACTTGACAGTGCTTCAATCCTGCCTAACAAATTTTAAAATTAAGACCCTAAAGGATCAAAATGTTTCCAAGTAGTTTACCCGTATCCTAGAACAAATTTCCAAAATATTTATAAGAATACAAAAATACCCAGCATCTGACAAAACAAATTTCACAGTGCCTGGGATCCAAAAAAAAATTAACAGGACTGAAAAGCAGCTGGAAAATACAAGAAGATATGAAGGAGATAAAGCAGTTAATTGAAAATGACTGATAACTGGCACAGATGTTAGAATTAAGAGATAAGAACAGTAAATAGTTACAATCATATTCCATATGTTTAAAATGGAAGATATAAAAAAGACTCAAACTCCTGGAGATGAAAATTACAATATATGAAATGAAAAGTACACTGGACGGGATTAATGACAGATTAGATACTGCAAACAAAATGATTAGTGAATTTTCAAAGACACAGCAATAGGCACTGCACAAAAATGAAACAGAGAAAAGATAATTTTTTAAAAAAATTAACAGTGCATGAGTGAGTTATGCAACTCCAAAAAACCTAAGTTGTGAATAACTGAAGTATAAAAAGGAGTGTATAAAAAGGAAAAAAATTTGAAGAAATGATGGCTCAAATTTTTCCAAATTTGAGAAACTTTTGGGGGTGATAGATATGTTCATTATCTTTTTTGTGGTCATGGTTTCACAGGTATATACACATGCCAAAACTTGTCAAACCATACACTTTAAATATGTGCAGTATATTATATGTCAATTATATTTCAATAAAACTGTTAAACAAAAAAATAGCTGAAATATAAAAATTCTATTGAAATTTCTTATAGTTGATCCAGAGAAGTAACCGCAACTGTCAAAATTTGAGTTAATGTAACTAATTTACTAAAATTTGAGCTGCTTTGTCTAATCTGAGGTAGGTAGTACTTAGCAATAAATTGGCTGACAGGCAAGCAAACAGGAACATTGAGGGATGAGATCAAGCCATTAATTAGGTCATAAAACTATACTTTGGAACTTTAAAATTAAAATATTTTGCCCCTAACTTATAAATAAAGCTTATTAACTATGAAAATGCCTTATTATTCAGAAATGGGAAGGGTTGGAAACAGGTATAATTTGGATTAAATTCCAGTTAGCCTGGATTGATTTCTGTTGGATTGGTCCACAAGCAAAGACACATTCAAGGACTCTGCAACCTTTTCCACTCTGAATTCCTCTTCCAAAAAGTGAATGTGGGGAAAGAGGAGAGCAAGCCCCATGTGTAGCCATGCCTAACAGAACCTTTTTTTCCCTCTTCTATTTTTATGCATATGTCATATTGTTTTAATTGAGTCAGATTACCCAAACTCCAAGTCGCTCTTTGGTTCTAAATTGAGCTTCTATGGAAGATGAATTTATATTTATCCTTAGGAATGCTTTACCAGTACACTGGTAGTTCTCAACATTTTGGAACTAAAGACAGCTCTAATTCATTATTTTTATGTTGGCTTTAAGTCCTTTCTGCTGCAATATAATTGAAGCCAAAGGTGCTTGTGCCTATAATATCATAGCAATTCCAGAAGCATGGTTTCACTTGCTGAGAATATGATGGTTGTGTCCCTCCATTCAGGAAGCCCAGCCAAACCCCATTTCCCTAATCAGAGCTGAATATCTACACTATGTGACAACATTTACTCATTTATAAAATTTACAAGATTTTAGAGAAAAAAAAATAATAGAATACCTGTGTTTTGAATTCCAGAATGTTACTTCCTGGATTAATTCTTCCTAATAATATCAAATCCTTTATCTGCATACATTTCTTTTTAGGAGTTGTGCTGTAGTTTAAAGGTTTTTTCATAGTATATTGACGGCCAGACCCAGAGAAAGAGGAGATCTGACTTTCATTTGCATGTGGAACAAGAGTAGCTGATTTTTTAAGATATGGTTTCATCTGATGCACAGTATCACTGCCTAAGACAGCAATCCCATGATGTGCCAGGGATTCTGATGCCCCTTTAGGTGGTTGCTGGGAAGCTGTCTTCTTGTTTCCTCTTTTCGGATCACAATTGGAGAGGCCCTGATCACAAATAGCAATTAATGGATGGACATCATTTTTGGAAACTAAACTTGTGGCTTCTGAATTATTTAATGTGCCAGTTACTGTGGAAGGACTATAGAATTCACATCCTTTGGCTGTAGTTTCTGTAAGATTTTCTTTTTGTGAATATTCCACTTGAGCAATAAAAGGAACAGGTTGTGATGGTAATTTAATCGTCTTGGTGCCATTTGAATGTCCGGATTTTGATAACATATCCAAGGTACAGTCATTGACATTTTGTTTAGAATTCATCTCATTTCCAGAAAATTCTTCCATTCTCACTATCTCTGGATTTAAACAAATGTTGGTATTTTGGCTGTCATTCCAAGTTTCCAGAGACAATTGTGTTTCCTGCATACTTCCACAAACAAGACTGACAGGAGACAGCGAACCTGATTGGGGCTGCATTGCATTTTCCAGACTGATAAGCTCTTGGCTGTCCTTTTCACTAGAGATTTCTGAGCTGGATGGCAGTTTCCTTAAACTAAGACCAGACAATGATGTGACATTCTTATAGTTTTGAATTTTCAGGCTTATTTTTTTCTGTTTTTTTGCCACAACTAAAAGGTTCTTCTGTCTTGTGGCCAAGTTGGCCAGTTGTTCTCTTAGGGCTCCATGCTTAAACGACTCTATGGATACCCTACAGGGAGAAAAAGAAAGAGGGAAAAAAATACAAAAACAGTAGAAAACATTTTTTAGTAGTTATTTAGGTGTTAAAAGGTTACTTCATCTCAATTTTAATCACCTTGAAGTACACAAGAGTCTACCTTTGCAATGTATTTCCTTTGAGAGGAAACTGACTCCTTTATTTAAGGTAAGTTTACCTTTTTTAGGAGGTGACAGTTTGCTTATCTAGATATACAATTGTATCATTATTTATCAGTTGTGAGTCAACCCTAAAAGAGAAACAAAACTTGGGTTGTTTACCTAGATATCTACTAGTCTTTGGTTGGAAGATAGCAACTGGTGGCTGATAACCATCATTTTTAAAGTTTGGGGTTTGCTTACATGTTTAAAGTGGAAAGGTCCATTAGGAAGGGAAATGTGGGACAAATTCAACTCAAGTTCCCTTAGCTATGGAGGAACAATACTGTTTTGTGAACAGTGATAACTCAGCTAGACCTAA